CAGTATCAAAAAAAGTTACACTAGCAAACACCACTAACCGCACCACTCACTGTAGCCACAATTGCCATTTGTTTCACCGATGCACTGGAAACAAAGTACTTATCTCTCCCCCCACCCCCCGGCAAGGATCAGAAGCTGCTTTCTTGCATGCGTTTTGGAAGCGCAAAACTTCAGGTAGTTTATTTTCCCCTGAATAGTTTTTTTTCCCTTCTAAAACACCGAACAAATTTCAAACAATTCTTCTTCTTGCATTCAGTTGCACATGGAAAAATCACTTCCGACAAACCTGCAGGGACGAACCCCCCCTCCCCCCCAGCTTTGCTAGGGCAGGTCGCCAGCGATAGGAAACCGAAAAATTACGATGGATGGAGCCCATGCGGATTTAATTTAGCAAGGTTTCTTTTAGCGACGAAATAAAAGAGAAGGAAGAAAATGGGCGCGGGGGTGGGGGGAGCGTTAGAAGGCATGGCACGCACGTCCGTATTCCCCCCCCCCCTTTTCCCTCCATGCAAGACAAAAGAGTAATTCAAAAGAGAGAAAGAAGACTAAAAGCTTTTGGCTATTCGTCCCCGGACGGTGTTAGAACTCACCTGCGTCATAATGGTAAAGATAGTCAGAGATCCTCGACAGGTACGAGAGAAAGACCGAACACCGCCTAAACTACTGAGAACGCGCTTCCCCTTTGCAGCTCCTTTCCTTTGCCAGCGCCACTATTTCACTCATCAGCCCAGTGGATGCCGACCAATCACAGGGGGAGGGGGGCGGAGAATTCCGCGCCTTCCTTCAATCGCTTTTCCCCAAAGGAGCTGATGGACGGCGTTTGACTCAATGCGAGACAAGAGTTATCGCTCACTGAAGAGGGACGAGGGATCCTCACGTCCGGTTCCTGAGGGGGGCTTGGAAATTCGGACCGGTCAAGGCTAAAAAGTAGAGGATCACATTGAATTTTCATAAACACAATAAAATATCAAACTAATAAAAAAGGATCTTCTATTCCTGATGAGGTCGTTATAGCAATGCAGTCTGCCATTGTCTTGTTCAGAAACTTTCCCCCTTTGCCTGGAGTTTTTAAAAAAGTTTTCTGGCGGACTCTCCCGCAATTAGCAATCGAATTCAATCGAGTTCAGCTGTCTTAGCATCTGCAGAGCTAGTGGTGGCCAAATCAAGGAAGCCTATGTTGGTTAGTCAGTGCAGCAGTACTACAAATACCATATTTCAAGTATTACAAAGTCCATACTGTGTGTCAGCTCCACAGCTGGAGCTAGACTTCAAGACCCCACAATTGCAGAGGGGGTGACAAATGCTTGTTCCTTAGAAGCAAATGCCAGAACAGCATAGCTACGTCCAGTTTTGCCATTGCAGCCTATTGAACATGTTTTACTGTACAGAGCCTCTTCTTTTTACTTCCTTGTTTTCCAACATTAGTGTTTTTTTCTACAACAAAAACAGGCTTTCAAGTACATTTAATGCTAGGCCTGCCAACAACGAGCCTCATTTTTTCTTTTTTAAATATTTGATAGTTCCAGAACTTCAGTCAATGCAAAATGTGAAATGGTATGATGAAAGTATAAGGCTCCCATTTCATCATTAAAGTAAGAAAGTATGCCAAAATTGAATTTGCATGACATGCAGGCTTAGGATATGATTGCTCAGTTTATGACTCAGCATGTTATAAAGGTACTTAGTGTTGAGCTCTTGTGCTTGAGAGTATTGTGGAAGCCCAGATCACAAGGTTAATTGTTAACACTGCATTGGGCCTTCAAGATTGGAAAAGAGGTGTGTATCCGTCTCTGTCTCTCTGTCTCTCTGTCTCTCTGTCTCTCTGTCTCTCTGTCTCTCTGTCTCTCTGTCTCTCTGTCTCTCTG